CCCCCTTCACAGTATGGTCTTTTTGGATCAGTTTCAGCTAAACTTGGTCCAATTTAAGTCAATTTAAGGTCATTTCGAACTCATTTTGGGTCATTTTCAGTTAATTTTTGGTCATTTTCAGGTGATTTTCGGTAATTTTCAGGTGATTTTGGGTTATTTTTCAAGGTCATTTTCAGCTAATTTCAGGTAATTTTTCTGACCAATTTTGAGCAACTTCGAACTATTTTTGGGCTGAATCATAGTGATTTTCGGTCAATTTGAGGCATTTTAGTCCTATTGTACGATGCAGGCATTTATTTTCACGCTAAAATGCAGTTAAAATTGGTAATCTCTTAAGTTTCAGCTAATCCATGGGGCTGCTAGACTACAAACTAGAAAGTTGGAATTAGCAGACCTAATTGGAATTATAAAAATGAGCCTGCCAAACTACAAACTACATTCCAAATAGCTCAAACTCACTCGGCCGACTCTCCAGGCATCACAAAGTCCTTTCCAACAATCTTCACACTCGCTCCAGAATCCCAAGTCAACGAGAAGACGTGCTCACTGAAGTAGTTGGCAATTGGCGTCTTGGCTCCTCCCTCGCTCTCCTTCAACACATACAACTGAGCCTTGACCTTATCAGTAACCTTGTGTTTGTGTCCTTGTGGCAAAAGAACACATCCACGTCGGACATCCTTTGGTCCCAGTCCTCTAAGGAGCACTCCCAACTGATCTCCTGGCTCGGCTTGGTCCACAGTCTTTCTGAATGATTCTAATCCAGAAATGGTGGATTTCACTGTGGTGCCATCCTTAGTTCCTCCAACAATCTCAATCTTATCTCCTCTCTTCAAAATTCCTCTCTCCAACTTTCCAGTGATTACAGTACCTCTTCCAACGATTGAGTAAACGTGCTCCGCTGCGAACATTGGTTCCTCATTCACTTTTCTCTCTGGGATCACGAATTTGTTATCAAGAACGTCAAGGAGCTGCTTAACAGCCTCCTCTCCAATCTCTGGCTGTTTTCCCTCAAGAGCACAGAGAGCAGAGCCAAAAATGACTGGACAAGTGTCTCCAGGGTATCCAAACTCGTTGAGCTGCTCTCGAATATCCATTTCCACTAATTCACGGGTCTCCGCGTCTGGAACCTCATCAACTTTGTTCATGAAGACTACAATATTCTCCAATGGGACGCCGACTTGTCTGGCCAACAAAAGATGCTCCTTAGTCTGTGGCATTGGTCCATCTGTAGCTGCAACTACCAGAATCGCTCCCTCCATCTGGGCGGCTCCTGTGATCATGTTCTTGATATAATCCGCGTGTCCAGGGCAGTCAATATGGGCATAATGGCGTTTCGCGGTCTCGTATTCCAAGTGGAAGGCGTTGATGGTGATACCACGAGCCTTCTCTTCTGGAGCGTTGTCGATATCCTCGTATTTACGGTATTTGGCTCCTTTGGAGGTGGCAAGAACTGAAAAAAAATTGGTTTTAAAGAGGGAAATGGCTGAAAAACGGTGAAATCAGGCGTTTTGCCCGGTTTTTTCGCTTTAAATTCTCAATTTCAAGGCCCCGGTGACTCTAAAGAGGCTTGACTTCAAATATCATTTAAAGCAGCGTACCGGGTAAAATGGCTGAAAAATGGTAAAATTAGCTAAACCAGGACCTAAAATAGACTCTTAAAACTATTTTTCCGACGTTAAATGCTCAACTTCAAGGACTAGAAAGCTCCTAGGCTTCTGGAGACACGAAATCTCCAGATTTTGAATTTTTTAGCTATTCGATCCTCCTGGATCGATTTTCAACGACTTGGGTATAACTTCAGCGAAAAAACTAGTTATAAAGGGCGTTTGAGACCCAATTTCTCTCCCTACCCTTAGTAATCGCCGAAGTCAACGTCGTCTTTCCGTGATCGACGTGTCCGATGGTTCCGACGTTCAAATGCGGTTTGTCTCTCTTGAAAACCGCTTTTCCGCCGGGAACCGCCAGGTGCCGGGCCTGAAGAAGCGACACTTGCTGCATTTTTTGCTCGCAAAGTGTGACAGTCTCTAAAAAAACAAAATTTTGCTATATTTTCAGCCTAAACTAGCTTCAAACTCACTAAAAGCGCCGACATTTCGGCTGAGAAGGCTGAAAATCTGCATCTTTTTGGCCCAAATTTGGTGTTTACCTGAAATGATGCAATTTAGACGGAAATTTGTCGGATTTTTGCACAAAATACTGAAAAAACGGTGATTTTGATGCTTTTCTCAATTTTATGAGTCAAAAAATATCAGAATTCGGCTGAAAAAGAGGGAAAATCGGCTGAAAATGCTTGAAAAATAACAGGCGTGCATTTGAGAATTTTTGTGTGCAAACACCGAATCCGACGCGCAGCTACACCAAATACACCGGCGCGAATTGTTGACCGTACTCCACCGGGAAAATATTTATTTTTCTTATTTTTGTGTCACATTTTGTTATTTTCAGCCGTTCTTCTGTCAATTTTCGTTATTTTCATTGATTTTTTCAGGTTTTTTTCATTATTTTTCACACAATAAACAAAATGTGTATTTTCACCCCAAATTTTCATCGAAATCGCTTTTCTCCGCTGATAAGCGATTTTTCGTGTAAAACTTGATGATAATGGGTTGCGAGATAGCGTTTAGAAGAAGCGAATAGTAACGTAATTTGATCGATTTGCCGAAAAAAGAATTTTTTACTACAACAAAAATTTTTCAACCTAAAAATTGATTCTTGAGCTCTTCTACACCGAGAGTTTTTTTTTTCAAATTTTCCCTTAAAAAAAGACATTTCCGGCATAAAAAATAGATTTGTTTCTAATTAAATAAATTTTTTTTGGCCTAAAATTTATTTTTTCTTCCAATTTTCCCTTCTTCTCCAATTGAAAGGGGGCAAATAAGACACACACACACACACATACAACAACAATACCCCTCCCCAACAACCATCGATTGAGAAAAGCGTACACAGTGGATGTGTTCCTTCATTTCGCAATTTTCATTTTTCTTGAAATTTTGCTGAAAAAAGTCTGAAAATCCAGATTTCCCGCTGAAAATTGAGCAAAAACGAGTCGAAATCGGCTTAAAACGACGGATTTCACCCCAGAAAGCTAAAAATTCCGTTATAGAACGGTTCTTGGCTGATGGGTCTGCTAATTCCAATTTTGTAGTTTGTAGTTTACGAAAATGACCACTATTTGGGGCTCCAGCGTGCAGCTGGGACAACACAAATGAAATTCAGGGCAAATAAAGCATTTTGAGCACTTTTTGACTGAAAAATAGGTGAAAATTGGACAAAAACGCGGAAAAATCGGGTCTGCTAGACTACAAACTACATTTTCAGGATTAGCAGATCCATTCATTTTTGCTTGTTTTTGCTCGATTTTTTAAGTTTTTCCTTTAGTTTTTGAGATAAATTCAGCAGAAATATCATAATTCTTAGCAAATAAAGCATTTTGACCACTTTTTAGCTGAAAATTAAAGAAAAAATGGTCAAAAACGCGGAAAAAATCACTTTAGGTCTGCTAGACTACAAACTAGAAAGCCGGAGATAGCAGACCCATTTGGGCCTGCTAGACTACAAACTACATTTTTCGGAATTAGCAGACCAACTCATTTTTTATCGTTTTTGCTCGATTTTTTTGGTTTCTTTCACTTTTCCTCTAGATTCTATGTCAATTTTAGCTGAAAATCTCCCCATTACTCATATAAATCGATTAATCCATCCATTTTGTATTCCTTTTGAACATGTGAGGGACGGAGGATCACACACACAGGACTCCCTCCTCGTCTCTGGTATTGTGTTCTTGACATTTTGGGTTTCTGCGTCTCTCCATTGGTCATACTCTCTCGCCGTTTTGTCCCTCACGCTCTCTCTCCCTAGCTTTCCGAGGCCTTACGCTCTACTGAATGTGTGCAGAAATTTGATGACCAATGATGCCCCGGGGTTTTTATAAACATTTTTGCTGATTTTTTCTCTTTAAAAGTTGTTTTTATAGATTTTTCCCTTAAAAATCGATTAATATCACTGGAAAACACTGAAAATCCGGCGAAAAATGAGTTTAAAACAGCCAAAAATGGAAGTGGTCTGCTAATTCCTCAAGTGTAGTTTGTAGTCTAGCAGACCCATTTTCATTTTCTCGCTGAAATCGATTTTTCCTCCAATTTTCGCTGGTTTTGCTAATTTTCCACGATTTTTGTATCATTTTCTTAGAATTTCAGCCAATTTCTATGGTTTCTCCTTGATTTTAGCCATTTTTTGGTCTGCTATTATGCTTGTCTGAGAAAAAAAAGGTTGAGACGCAGAGAAAAAGTGTCTGCGTCTCCACCGTTTGTGTGCTGTTTAGGCTCTCCGCTTCGATATCGCTATCGTATTCAGACTGCAAAAAATACTCTCTAACATTTTTTTTCTCAGACAAGCATAATATCTCTAAATTTGTAGTTAGTATTCTAGAGAAATGGCTACAAACTACATCTGCGGAGCTAGCATACCAATAAGGGAATCCTGCCAAGCTTGATTTCTAGAAAATTGTAGTTTGTAGTCTAGCAGACCAATTTTTCATTTTTCGCCAGTTTCTGATCAATTTTAGCTGACCTTTCTTGGTTTTTACATTTAAAAATCTAATATTTCTCAATTTTGGCTCATTTTCAGAGTCATGGACGGGCCAGCACCACCCGAGGATCCCCGTGATCCACAGTTGGAGCAGCAGCAGGGCGACTCGGAGACACAACCGCTGCTCGACGAGGGCATTGGCATGTATTCGGAGGATTTGGAGAGTCAACAGGAGCCAGAGTACATTACCGAGTACGGTGATGGTACTGAGTCGGCACAAAGAGCTCACAGACCGAATGGTAGGGTTGAAAATCGCTGAAAATCCGGCGAAAAATGCTTCATAATACACGAAATTTGAGATTTTTGAAGTTTGGTCTGCTAATTCCAAATTTGTAGTTTGTAGTCTAGCATACCCACTTAGGTCTGCTATCCCGAGAGTGGTAGCCCCTGGCAGACTGCAAACTGCATCTTCAGAGCTAGCATACCAACTAGGGAATCCTGCTAAGCTCGATTTCTCAAAAATTGTAGTTTGTAGTCTAGCAGACCCAATTCTCATTTTTCACTCATTTTTGGCTATTTTTTTGCTTGTTTTCGCTAATTACTGATTTCTCTAATAATTCACATTAGCCCGTGTGAAAAACTCTGAAAATCCGGCGAAAAATGCTTTAAAATCGCGAAATTCGATGTTTAGAAACCTTGGTCTGCTAGTTCCAAATTTGTAGTTTGTAGTCCAGCAGGCCCAATTCTCATTTTTCACTCATTTTCAACCATTTTTCATCATTTTTGGCTATTTTTTTTGCTTATTTTCCGCTAATTTCTAATTTTTCTGATTTGTAGTTTGTAGTCTAGCAGGCCCATTTGGGTCTGCTATCCCGAGAGTGGTAGCAGACTGCAAACTACATCTTTGGAACTAGGATACAAACTAGGGAATTCTGCCAAACTCGGTTTCTTGAAAATTGTAGTCTGTAGTCTAGCAGACCCAATTCTCATTTTTCACTCATTTTCATCCATCTTTCATCAATTTTGCTCATTTTTCTTCTAATTTTTGCAGGAGCCAGTGTGATGTGTCGTGTGTGCGACGTGTCCGTTTCCTTGGAGGGACGCAATCAGCAGCACGTCGTCAAGTGTCACAGTTGCGACGAGGCGACACCGATTCGTCCGGCGCCGCCCGGAAAGAAGTACGTCCGGTGTCCGTGCAACTGTCTGCTCATCTGTAAGGCGTCGTCGACGAGAATCGCGTGTCCGCGCAACAATTGTCGTCGTGTCATTACATTGGGTAAGCGGAAATGGGGCAGTTCAGCGGAAAAATGACTTAGAAAACATGAAAAATGGCTCTAAAATCGTCAGAAACTCCATTTCGGTCTGCTATCTCGAAATCTGTAGTTTGTAGTCCTGTGAGAACGAAGCTCCAGATATTTTACGCGAAGATTTGACATGAAAATCGGCCCAAAATACCCACGGGCCTGCTAGACTACAAACTACAATTTCGGAATTAGCAGAACCAAATCGCAAAACTCTTAAAATGGCTCATTTTTTCTCAAGTTTTGAAGCAATTTCTGAATATTAAAATCTCAATGGAACGAAATCCTAATTCCAGCAAAATTTAACGAAAAATATCACAAAAATCGAGTTTCAGACTAAAAATCATCTAAACATTTTGGTCTGCTAATTCGGAAAGTGTAGTTTGTAGTCTAAAAGATCAACTAAATTTGTTTTAAGAATGAAGAATTGCATTCCGGCAGCTCAAAAAAGAGAAGAAAATTGATCTTAAAACCGAATAAAATCGCTGAAGGCTCAAGTTTGGCCTGCTGGACTACAAACTACACTTTCATAAGCAGACCAAAACTTCAATTTTTCAAAATTGCTCATTTTTTCTCATTTTCCGCCAATTTTTCGAGTCTGCAAACTCTAAATTGGTAGTTTGTAGTCTAGGCCTGCTAGACTACAAACTACAAAGTTCCCTTTAGCAGACCACTTTGCAAATTTTCTCAAATTTCATGGATTTTGGCCGTTTTTTCTCTTTCCGATTTTAAATTTCACACAAATATTGTGAATCACAGTCCTCGTTAGAAATCGTTCAGAAGCGATTTCAGCTGGTCAACGTGATCCAGGAGTGGCGATTCGTGCGCCGACAGGATCGTGCCGAGTCAAATGCAACCATTGCAACGAGATCTTCCTCTTCAACACACTTACCAACGCGCTGGCCCTCTGTCCGCACTGCAAAAAGTACTCGACCGTCGGGAATTTCGCCCGGAGACGTGCGCTGCTCTTCTTCGTGCTAGCTGCTACTGTCGCCGTTTTGGCTGTGATTTTGACGATGCTTACGAATGCGTCGGTGAGTTGAAGGGGGAAAAATGACCCAAAAATGATGAATTTTGACCCAAAAATGATGAATTATGACCCAAAAATGATGAATTTCAACTCAAAAATGATGAATTTCAACTCAAAAATGATGAATTTTGACCCGAAAATAAGGAATTTTGACTCAAAAATGATGATTTATGACCCAAAAATGATGAATTTCAACACAAAAATGATGAATTTTGACCCAAAAATATTGAATTTGGATCCTAAACTCATGTTGGTCTGCTAGACTCCAAACTACAATTTTGGAACTAGCAGACCCAGGTCAAGATTTTTTCCAATTCTCACCCCTCGTTCCATAGCACTTCCAGACGTTCAACAAAGTCTACATGGTTCCGATTCTCGTTGGATTATACGGATGCGCCGTCTATACCGCCTACAAGTCATTCAACTACTACACGTGCCGAAAAAGCGAGATTATTGGACCTGTGTAGGTATTTCAGACCAAAACCGACCCAAAAATTGGAAATTTCTACGAAAAATGAGTCAAAAAATGACCTAAAACGCCAAGCACTGCATTTGGGCCTGCTGGACTACAAACTACACTTTTGGAATTAGCAGACCAAACTCTTAAAAATCTTCAAAATTACTCATTTTTTCGCAATTTTCAAAGCAATGTCTAAAATTTGAAATCTCGATGAAAGAAAATCGAAATTCCGGCAAAAATTGATTCAAAATGGCCTAAAAATTGAATTTCTGGCTAAAAATCACCAAAATATACATTATGGTCTGCTAATTCTGAAAGTGTAGTTTGTAGTCTAGCAGACCCAGCCCAAGTTGTTTTACGAAGCAGATAAAACAAAAAAGTTTAGCTGAAAACCGATAAAAATCGCAAAATTCTCATGTTTGGCCTGCTGGACTACAAACTACATTTTAGAATTAGCAGACCCAAATTTTAAAATTCTTCAAAATTGCTCACTTTTCGCCAATTTTTTTTCAATTTTTCAAATTTCAGCGAGGGAATCGACAACTTCTGACTATTGTACGGCTCCATCGAAAATCATCATGATCATCCCGGCTGAAAACAAGGTTCTGCAACAATTGCACATAATTTTCCTGAAAAAATCCACGTAGAATTTCATTTTTTAGTCATTTTTGGGTCTCCATCCCCAATCCAATACCTCCGTCGCCTCTATGATTATTCTGTGATACTTTTTTTTTGCTTTTTTCGTTCGCCCCGCCCCATATTTCTTTATTTTCCTCGAATTTTTTCCATTTTTTTGAGTTTTTTGGCGCTGAAATTTTCAATTTTCAGCCCAAAAATCATCTATACACATCCCCTGATAAGCTGGTATTTCCCAAAAAAAATTATTTTTCAGCCTGATTTGTTAAAAACGCCACACCTAATTTCTACCCCCTTTATATTATGCCCCGCCCCTTTTCTCCCCAAAAAAAAGTTTGAAAATTGCACCAAAACCACCACCCCCAAGAATTTGAATTATAAACTGTAAATTTAGTCTATTTTCCTTTTTTTTTCTTTTTTTTCTACAATTTTCATGGGTTTTAACACTTGTTATACCTATTTTGACCCATTTTCAGCCATTTCCCAGCCTGTTTACCCCAATTTTTCCAGTTTTATGCGTAACTTGGCTTCGCTGGAACTCTATCGGCAGCTTATTCGTTACTCTCGCAGCCCACAGCTCAAATATACGGATCGTCGATTTTTGGGCGAAAAAATTCGTCAAGAATTTCTGAAAAATCGATATTCCGACGACAATCAGACGACTGATTTGTTGATAAAGTGGGGAGAGAGTGTGTTGAAGGCGAAGAAAATTGTGTAGAGAAAAAAAATGGTGTGCGTTTTGGGAATCGAAGGATCCGCTAATAAGATTGGGGTGAGTGAAAAACTACAAAAATTAGTGAAAAATTTCCGAAAAATGGTCAAAAAATCATCAAAAATGGGTTTAAAACCACCGAAATGAGTGAAAAAACAGTAAAAAAATGGATGGTTGGAAGATCTCTAAGAATTAGTGAAAAATCACAAAAAGCGCGAAATTCGAATTTGGGTCTGCTAATCATTTCCTGTAGTTTGTAGTCTAGCAGAACGAAGCGCGAAAAATCACCGTAAATTAGGTTAAAAATCGACAAAAAAAATGCGAAAATCTATTTTCGGTCTGCTAATTATTCTTTGTAGTTTGTAGTCTAGCAGGCCGCAGCGCGAAAAATCACCAAAATTAGCGAAAAATCATTAAAAAACGCGAAATTCGAACTTGGGTCTGCTAATTATTTTTTGTAGTTTGTAGTCTAGCAAGCCCAAGCGCGCCGTGGGCCTGCTTAACTACAAACTACAGGGAAAACATTAGCAGACTAAAATCGAATTTCGCTTATTTTGCACCTAGAAACTTTCAGTCTTCTCCGTTTTTCGAACTAAATGATCAGTAGACTACAAACTACAATTTTGACATTAGCAGACCAAAATGTTGTTTGGCCTGAAAACAAGCATTTTTCTCGTTTTTTATTCTGTTTTTTCTAGCAATAAGACAATCAGACTACAAACTACACACTTTTTCCAGGTCGGTATCATTCGTGACGGCGTCGTTCTCTCGAATCCACGGGCCACATTTCATGCGCCGCCCGGAGAAGGATTCCGGCCAACGGAAACCGCTCAACATCATCGGCAACAGATCGTTCGTCTAGTTGGAGAGGCGATTCGTGAGGCTGGAATTCAGGATCCGGAGAAGGAAATCGATGGAATCGCATTCACCAAAGGACCTGGGATGGGAGCACCCCTACAGGTGAAAATTCAAGAAAATTTGAACTAAATTAGGCAAAAATAGCGGAGAAATGATCAAAATTGGTCTGCTAATTCGAGAATCGTAGTTTGTAGTCTAGCAGACCCATTTTTCCTAACAAGCGGAGGAAGTTGAGGGGCGCCTGCTGGACCACAAACGGGTCTAGCAATCCCAACTTGAGACTCTTAAAATTAAGGAAGTGTAGTTTGTAGTCTAACAGACCCATTTTTTTGCAGGTTGGCGCCATCGTCGCTCGTACACTGTCCCTCCGATGGCAAAAACCCATCATTCCGGTCAATCACTGTGTTGGACACATTGAAATGGGTCGACTGATCACGGGGGCGGATAATCCTGTTGTTTTGTATGTGAGCGGTGGAAATACACAGGTTTGTGAAAAGAAATCGAGAAGATTGATCGAAAATTATGGATTTTAGGCGAAAAATGCGTTTTTTTGGTTTTGGTCTGCTAATTATATGAAATGTAGTTTGCCTAGCAGACCCATTTTTGAAATTTGAAGAAATTTCAGAAAAAATAACAAATTTTACACGAAAAGTGGGCTTTTTTTTGGTTTTGGTCTGCTATTTATGAAATTGTAGTTT